GTGGTCTGGAAGGTAGGAGGGAGGCTGTCAGGTGTTGATATGTGCCCTTGTCATGGTTTTCATCGGGCATCTTGGCAATCTTGCAGTGGTGTGCGGGAGGCTTCTGACTGGAGAGGGACTTGAGCATTATGTAGGAAGGGAGAGAGAGAGATACTGATGGATGAAAAGTCAAAACACAGCCTGAGATTGCAGTGAGAGTCCTAAAATACATCAATCCTTTTAGTACAAGTAATGCTCATGCTGTTAACCCTTTCAGAGCTCTAGTTTTCCTGAATATTCATTTGAAATAGGATACAACATTGTCCTTAAGACAGACAGATCTGTCTGTGGGTGAAAGAGACAGGTAGATGTAATGGCCATAGCTTATTGCAGCAAGAGAAAACCAAACAATCTGCATTGCCCAATACATTTAAGTAAATCTAATAGGAGGGTTGAGGAAGATAGCAAGATTAGCTTGATAAAGATTATTTGTTGCTAAACAGACTTGTCAGTGTTTCCCTCAGCCCTGACACACACAATGAACGGCTCCACCCAGGGCCTTTCCATTTGCTTCATGGCTCAGTTGATTTTGATGGGTTTATTGTGAAGCAAGATTTATGGAGCCCCAGGAAGGAATAAAATTAAAAACTTCCGTTCCCTATGTTCCCACAGAGAAGTCCTCCATGTCAACTCATGGGACTGGTAAATGGGCTGAGTGAGGGATCCTGCTTTCAGGCTCCGTGATCAAACTGTGTCCTCTTTGCAGTCCCCAACAAGAGAAGCGCGAGTGACTGCAGATCCATCCTTCAGGTTCTGTTGTCTTGGGCATGAAAAGCAAGAGCACCTGGCTTCCTAGCATCGTAAAATGAACTTTAAAATTAATTGTTTTACAAAATAAATATGTCTAGGTTTTTTTTTTTGGTTTGTTTTGTTTTTTTTTCTATAGTAACTGTCGTATTTTTAGGCTCTTCTGGGCAGTGTGGCAGTGTTAGCTCCATGCTTCTGAAGTGCTGAACGGCTCATGCAATAGCTTGCTTCCATCAGCAGGAGTTTTAAGAAAAATGCTATAAATCGTGGGACTTGGGACAAAATCACAGAAGCTGGCACCAGTGTTTCAGAGGCACAGCTCCTTGTGTTCCCTCTCATCTGCCCCGTAGCTAGATTTTTCTGACAGAGGAGAGAGGTTTTGTGAGAGGGCAATGGTCTGTCCAGCAGTGCTGGCACTTCCAGCCTACCATGGCCCTGAAAGGGTTTTCATCTCATCTAGCGCAGTGGCTCTTGTCAGAAACAAAGCAAATCCTGATCAGCATTGAAGGAGCAGATACGCCCTGTGTTTCAACATTTGAAACCAGGCCCATCAATCTGAAACTATTCCCCACTCCCAGTGCCAACAGCTCCATTGATGACTATGCTCCAGAAAGAAAAGAAATTGCTTTTCCCCTCACTGTAATGTCAGCCCTCCATTTGGAGACTCCCCCGCATCTTCCTTTTCATGCTGGAGGTGGTGCACTCATCTCTGTGACCTGCAAGCATCTGCTTCCCTGGTTTTCCGCTTCATTGCGTCTCTGTTTAGACACTGCAATGCCCTGTCCCACATACTAATTACTGACTTTTTGCTTCTGAGGATCTTGATTCATTCTGGCACATTTTCCCACGTGAAACTGGACCTAGAGCCTTGGAAAATATCTTAATGGACATCAGCATAAGTCTGAGTTTAACCCCAAATTGGCTGCTGTATCTGAGCTAAACGGCACCTCTTTCAGACCCTAATGGTGGCAATATGAACCCTCCTCGCGTGGAGTACTTTGCTTCACGAATATCCCCCTGAAAGGAGGGCAGCCCTGGCAGAGCCCGGCGTTGCTCAGGGAGGGGAGGTGTTTGCACTGGCACCACCTTATCTCAGCTCTCCTGACCGTGCTCCGAGTCGATGCTCTCGCTTGTGTGATTGCAGCAAGTGAGCCCTCTGTGAGAAAACACCTTCTGCTTTTTCTCGCCGTAAAGTTCTTGCCATTTCCCACAGGAGCAGTTTCTGTTCAGGGCTCGCTGCTGCCGGGTACTGAACAGCCTCTGGGAGTTCAGGCATCCTCAGCTCCCACCAACTCCGGCAGCCGCTCTGGCAAGGTCAGGCCTTTGTTGCACAGCGTGGACGTGGGCTTGCAGTCTACTGAGGCTGCTGGTTTCCTCCAGAGGCTTTTGTTTGTTCTCCTGCCTCCTTGACAGTGTGGAGGGGGACAGGTTGTCCCTGCCTGCCCTGAAAAGAGAGGCCTGATGCGAGGTGGTTTGGCGAGTTTTGGGGTAAAGGGGGTTTAGATCAGTTCCTGCTCAGCAGTTCCTGCGCTGCCGCTTGAGTTCATGATTTCAGGAGTGTCTTCTACCTCATTGCACTCGGAGTGTGTTTTTGAAAAGGAGGCTTCTGTATTTGTAGGCTAAGCAGAGACCGCTTTCTCCTGCCCAGGGGAGGGGGCAAACCCAGCTTTTGGGAGAAGGAGAGCTGGTTACAAGGTGGAGGTGCTGGGCTGAGGCTTGGGAGAGCTGTGACTGATGTCAGATGTGCAAGGCACGTCTTGCGTGCCCTTGTCTGCTTACTGCCTCCCTCTGTACCTCAGTTTCCACGTGATGAACAGAGATTAAAACCAGTTTCTTTCCCTTTTTTTTTTCTACTAGTTTCTAAGTGTTTTTCGAGCAGGAAATGTCTCTTGCTGTTTTTGGTAACTGATCTTTGAGTGAAAGGGTTTTGTCTTTAGGAGCGCTAAATGCTGCCAGTGTATAAATAAAAGCCATGAAAGGCAGCCCAGTGGTGCAGCAGGCGGGAGGGCTCCCTCCCCATCACAGGGGTTGGCCTGGGCTTTCTCCTCTCCTTGCAGTAATTCTACCTGTCAGCCCTGATTAACTCAGAGGTTCTTTCAAAGGTTTGGCAGGAAGGGAGGATTTCCTTCTTTTCAAAATGAATATATTAATTTTGTATTTGTGAAGTGAGCACAGAGAAACAATCCTTGCTCAGCTACCCTTGCAGCAGAGGCCTTTCACGTAAGTACTGAAGATAAGTAGATACATTTGACCTCTATGTAATTTAAGACTCTCTTCTTAACCTACCTGCCTCTCCTAAAATAAAAGTCTCCTGTTAAACACGTGTTACATCCTCACAGCTTCAAGCACAGACCCAGGGACTTGATGCAACCCTCAAAACCTTGTTCTCCACAGTTTGCTCAGGTCTCAGGCTTCCTTATAGATGCTCCTGCTGGATCCACGCAGCCAGAATTAATCTTTGCAATAGTCTCCTCTTAATGGCTTAACCTCTTTGCTGCTACACTTGAGTCCCTTTGTAATCTCAGAAGAATATCACTATAAGGTATTGGGTTCCCAATTTAGCCTGATGGTGGTTTTTGTACCTTTGGCATGTGAGAAATTATGATTGATTTGTTTACACACTTAATTAAACTATTGGTGCTGGCTGAGTTTTCTCCAATTTAATAACATTTGACAAATAACAGGAATGGAAAACCTGGAATGAAACTTGCCAGAACTTTCTC